TATATATATATATATATATACACACACACACACACACACACACACTATTTTTACACCTATAGCTTTGATATACAGTATATTTTTTTTTTTTGTGGGTGCGCGGCGTGTGATGTCACTTTTGTAAAATGAGGTCAAGTAGATTCCTGTGTTTAAATCTGCTCTGGTTCCGGGTGGGGCGTTTGCATCTTATTCCTGTACTTGCATGGTTTTCTCCACATTCCAAAAACATGCATGTTACGTAAATTGAAGACAATTTGTCCATAGGTGTAAATATGACTGTGAAGGTTGTTTGTCTAATATTGTATGTGCCCTTTGCTTGTAGCCTGCTTTTCTCCCAAAATAAGATGGGATGGCCTATTGAGGACAAGCATTCTAGAAAAGGGATGGATGGACTCCCTATACATATGTGCACAATGGACATTGGTCCGAATGTAAGACGGCTCTGATTATAAGACGACCCCCTCTTTTTCAAGACTCAAGTTTGAAAAAAGACTTTTTGAACACCAAATTAATTTTTATACAGAAAATAATTACAGTACATCTGAAACAAATGATTCTAACAATATATTTGAGAGAAAAGGCATGTTGTTTTGCCTCATTCAAATCTTAATATCTGAACATTTAAATATGTAAACTAAAGTGCAATCACATTCGTAAATGAATGGCTTCTGGTTTTTGAAATGTAATGACATCATAACTTCTCCTCAGGTGCCGGTTAACCTGGCCGATCTTCGACCCACTTTTCTCCAGATTGTCGCTACGTTTCTCCATTTTCTGTTATCTCTCCTATTATTTTCTTCTCTTTTCTTTCTTACCACTATTTTTTATTTTTTTTTCTTCGTGCTACCGCTATTTTTATTTTTTCTTCTTCGTGACAGGGGTTCGCTTTGGCCTGGGGAGTCAAGTTCAGCATTCGCTTCAATGGTATCTGGCGCCATCTAGCGTCGTGAATGGGTATAATGTCTAGCTCCCGAATATAAGATGACGCCCACTTTTTCAGTCTTATTTCAATGCAAAAAACACCGTCTTATATTCGGGCCAATACGGTATCTCATTTCATTTCATTACAGTTGATGGAGGATTCTTTTTTTTTTATGGCGGGCGGTGGGTTGTTGGGGGCCATAACCGATCATTTTGTATTAGTCAGCCCTTTTTAAAACAATCACAGTCGGCCAGAGTTTTGCCAGTCATATCCTTAAAGTTCTCATGAAACTCAAGGTTTTCTCAGACACCTATTGGATTGTGCTCATTTATGTTCAGCGTGACGGTGGTAGCTCCTGTGTCACGCACTGGAGCACATTCAATCTAATTGAAAGAAACTGTGTGAGCTAATTTTTATGCTTTTGTCCCGCACAGCGGCATCCGGTTATGGCACGCAGAGCATTCGCCTGGGTAAAGATGCCATCAAAGACTTTGACTGCTGCTGTTTGTCCTTGCAACCCTGTCAGACTCCTGTGGTCACGTATGTTTCTCACCTCATACTACGCCAAAACAGACGTTGGCTTTCAAAGGCATTCATACTCCTTGACATTGTCCTCATTTTATCACATGACAATCACTAACGTGTATGTACTTCATTGGGATTCTGTGTGATGCAACAAGACAAAGTGATGCATACTTAGCAGTGCAAGAAATAATCATGGTCAGGAATTATTCATCGTTTTTACATAAAAAAAAATGCAACTCTGAAAAAAAATGGGTTGCCGACGTTTTCAGCTCTCTTTACCGGTACATAAAATACCATGCATCATTTTCTTTACACTTCTCAATATTACACCACGTCAAAAATTTGGAAGAGTTCAAGGTCTATGAATTCAATTACTGTCACATATCCATTCATCAGGGATGAGATTTTTCCGCTTTTTGGCGGAATTCCGCTTTTTTCCAGTCAAAATGGACCTTTTTTATATTGTTCCAAATCCGTTGAGAAAATTTAAAGGGGTCGGGGGGGTCTGGTGTTATTTCTGGGCTGCCGGACTTACTTGTCTTCGGCAGACTCGGGACTCGTAATGTTTACAAATAAAGTTTGCAAGCATCCATTTTGAATACCGTTTTTTTCTCGCGAAGCGTTGGTTTGTCATTACTTCGTATATGGACTAAAACCAATGTCTTGTTGTGATTGGCCGCTATATCGGCAAATGCAGAATCACAACCAATCCGTGTTCGACTTCCTAAACCCCTTTCCCGTGAATTCTGATTGCTCTTGCAGTGTATTGAAATTACTCGTGTATGTAGTCTGTATTAAACAAATGCCGAATGTTATCGGGACTCGTGACGAAGCTAACGTGTGTCAGATAGATGTGGATCTGAAAAACGCGTTTCGATGGGACTGGTTGGATAGAAAGATGACGGTGTCCCCAGTAGGAACCAGTAAAGAGGAACCATTGTCTGTGCTTGTGTTGGATTTCGTGAAAAAACTCGGATGTCGCTGGTAAAGCACTGTGTACAGTGTGTGACAATGTCACTCTATACGGAAAATGCATTCATAACCCATATATAATAAACCGTTTGGGACTTCACTATCACTGTATGAGGTAAGAATCAACAGCTTGTTATCACATTTACACAACATTTTATGAATACAAGTAATGAACAAATCTTAAATATGGCAGGGAATGTGTTTCCTTTTTTAGTTTTGATTTTGAGCAGCAAATTTGAATTTACATGTTGGTGCTCACCAAGAATGCATAAGCAAAATTGCACAAAGTCCTATGTCAAATTTTCACTTGAAAGAATAGTCAACAATCTTGGGATTTTTTTATGTGAAAGTTTCAAGTAGTGTGTACATTGAATATGCTTCATTTTTAGCATGTTTAGTATAAAGTGCCAATTTTGTAAGCAAATAGGGAATGGTATTTCAACAGAAATTGTAAAATTTTGTTGATAAAATAATGGTTTTAAGGCTTTAAAATCTCTAAAACCTATTAGCTTCCGGGGGCTTTGCCCCCTGGGCCCCCATCCGCGGCGTTGCCCCTTGACCCCACTGGGGGCCTGTGGTCCCCAGACCCCTGGCTGATTTTCAGATTTTTTCATCACTAGCCACTCTCATCCCCGATTCATTCTGCAGACCTCAAGTACAGGCTACAGTTTCTATTTCTGTACATATAATTGGAGGAGTCATTTTAATTAGGTTAATTGACAAAAATGAACATGGATGTAAAGATCACATTTTTTTGTCTTCAGTCCAGATGGATTTTTGTATGAAAAGCAGGCTATCCTGGAGTACATTCTGCATCAGAAGACTGACATTGCCCGGAAAATGAAGGTACGTTCTTGACATTTGGTCTTTTTGTATTTATGTCTCTTTATTTAATTTTGGTTCATTCATTTGACTTCTGCTCAGGCAGCGTGGGATTGATTCTTATTTAGCAATGGTGTGAATCTGAAAGTGAATTGGTTGTCCCTAAATGTGTCCTGTGAATGACTAGCCACCATTTCATCCAAAGTCACCTGAGATAGGTTCCAGCTCTTAAAAGGATAAACAGTATTGAAAATGGATGGATGGATGAATGACTGAATGGCTTTTTACATATTTTTCTTTCCCATCAAAATATAAAGGATTCAAATGTTTTGTATTTGAAATTTACTGGACTTTCCTGCAGGCATATGAGAAGCAAAAACAAGCTCAGAAGAATGACAGTCAGCTTGAGTCCAAGTCAGCGGAAAGGGAGAAAGTGGAGAAGTTTAAAACCAGAGAGAACAGCATCGTATCCAAACCCATCAACCCTTTCATTTCCGGTGCGTGTGTCCAGATACTGCAGTGACACTGTTCTATTTATTGTTGGCAAATGCATGGACTTGTTCAACTGTGTTTTTCCTTCAAGGGCAAAGCAAAGTAGGTGAGAAAATCAGGACAGGCGGCAGCTCATCAGCATCCTCCTCCACTGATTCAGTGGCCTCCTCCAGCCAGAGTCTGCCCAGCTTCTGGGTTCCTTCGCTGACTCCTGAAGCAAAGCCCAACCTTCTCAAGAAACCGGTGAGCGGCTATTGGGGACGAAAATTTGCTTCAGAGATTGTTTGTTTTCCAATGTATGGATTGGGCATATTGAAATTTATTTCATCATTTCATTTTCCGTCGTCGATCCGGGGACTGGAAGCCAAGTTCAATGTACTGCCTAATAAATACAACATTTCACACACACACACACACGCACACACACACACACACACACACACACACACACACACACACACACACACACACACACACACACCATCTCAACTTTAAATGGGTGTCTACTAAAATGGGCAAACATTACTTTATTATTTCGAAGCATTACTTAGAAGAGCTAGTGTTGTTGGAAGAATTATAGAACTGGTGTACTTGCGCCCTCTGCTGGTTGCTGCCAACTGTTGGAGACAAATAAATCTAGTAATTCCACAGTTCAACTGTGTCCGTCGTAGCGGCATGGTGAATTAATGGTTAGCATGTCTGCCTCACAGCCGAGAGGTCCTGAGTTCCCATATCGGCGAGAGCATTTCTCCAGGGAGTCTGGCTTCTTCTTTCATTACAGAAATAAACACTTTTGGTTAATGACTCTTAAGTTGCCAATAGACGTGAATGGTTGTTTACATGTCATGTGCTGATGACCAGTCAAAGGTGTACCCCGCCTCTCTCCCAAAATCAGATGGGATAGACACCAGCTCATCTGTGCATAGGCCCAGTGTGACTAATCTGGACATTCTGGTGAGTTCCTACTGGGACCTGCTGCAACTCCTGCCAGCTCATTAGTTTCTTCCGGTCCACGGATCCCTTGAAATCGCAACTGAACTTTAATTATGGATTACTTTAAAAATTACCATCGCTGCATACAAAGTGTTGTACATGGAATGTAAACATTAGAATCAGAAAATCATAAAAATTCCACAACACTTGAATCCAACTTTCACCTTGTTGTACAAATGTATTAACAGAGACAGGGCGAAGTGGTGGCCTTCTGAAGGTAGTTCTTCACCAGGAATGACGTAAATCTTGGGCCATTATGTTGGAAGACAAAGTGGTGACCTATATCCGGTTTTGCTGCTGACTGCTTGAGGTTTTCCTCCAAGATCTTCAAATATCTTTCTTCCTTCAGGATTTGTCTTCCAACACGATCAAAAATTGTACGTCACTCCTGGTGAAGAACTATCTCCAGAAGGCCAGAGTGAATGTTATTGAATGTCCTGCACAATGTCCTGATTTAAATCCCATCGAGAATCTTTAGGTTTAATTGCCAAAATACTGTCAATTGGGGTAGCTTGGAAGGTTTGTCAAAGAAGAATGGGCTGGGATTGCTCAAATGTGTGTGAGACTTGTGGAAAACTGTAACAAGAAATTGCAAGCTGTAATGCAGCAAAAAGGACACCCTATTGCCAATTAGCATTGGGCTAATAATTTTAATTCTTGTAATTTGTGTTTTTTGTCAAGTAACTTCCTGTGCACCAAAAAAAAAAAAAAGAAAAAAAAAAAGAAATTGTGGAAGCGTTCAAAATGAAAGGTGCTCGGAAAAGCTGTGTTAAAAAATGCAGTGCTGTCTTTAACAGCACTCGGGAAATAATATAAAAATTACATTTTCATTGTGGGGCTAATAATTCTCTGTACTTGCAATGGAAACAAAGCATGAAGATGAAGCTTCCTTTGATGACTGTTGCTGTCCAAAAGCTAGTGTAGGTCCTCAAAGTAGTGTACCGGAAGTGGTGTGAACAGGTTTCAAAATAAGAGCATCAAGACGAAGTGCAATGTTGGCTGACTTAATTGGTCAATGGCATGTCACTTTTCTACCTCGGGTACTCAAAGCGCTACACACTGTTAACTCATTCACCTACTGATGACGCAGCATCAGGAGTAACCAGGGATTCATTAGTTTGCTCAAGGACACATCGACATGGTCGCAATGGCAGGGGATTGAACCACCAATCTCTGGGTTGAGAAATGATCAACTCTGTCTTCCCTAATGCTACATATACTTTTAGCCGTTTTAACTATTTATGTTCTCATACTTGGTCATATAAACACTGATTGTGATCGTAAGCACAGTCAATTGTAAATTTGATTTTTAATCAAATGCGATGTGAATATTGTTGGAGGGAACGCTTATCCATTTTAGACTACCATAATTTCCGGACTATAAACCACTACTTTTGTCACACACTTTCAACCCTGTGGCTTATTGAATGAAGCGGCCTGTTAAAAAAAATTTCCAACAGCCGCCAGGAAGCGCTCAATCAGAAAAGATAACAGTGGGACGGGATCATGTGTCACAGTGAAAACAACCGGCCATGTGTTTTGAGCTGAACTGCAATCCAAAAGCTGTGTGGCTGAGTCTATGACAGACTTGACCGAACACAAAATAATTTTTATGAAGGCTTTATTCCCGACTGAACATAGAAAATGTACAGCATTAATAAAATAAAAGATTGAGGTATATCAAATGGGACTAACAAATAGAAAAATATACAAAAATAGACAACAGTAGGGGCTTATGAGCACTTTCCGGCATGTTGTATGCGCCCAAAACACACAGAAAACAACTAATCTCCCCTGCTTCACGGCTGTTCACACGACCCACTGTGCGACACCGTTCAAACTCCCAAATGACCATATTTTACTTTTAATATCAGCCGGGTTACAATGCTGGTTGCAGATCCATCAGGTCTGAATAAGCACAGCTCAGCGTTCGTCTCCCTTCACTTTGTGGTCCAAATCTCACGAGATTTGCCACAAGATTATCCAACGCTCCTTTTAAAGTGACAGTGATCCATTTATGAAATGAGGCAGCATTCACTACAACAGTTATAGTATTGTTCACCTGGCTACATATACCAAAAGAAAACCTCCCGAAAGAGATTGTCTTGAAAGTTGACACGAAAGCGTGGATGGTAGAAAGCCTAATGAAGGAATGATTGACCGAGTGTTATGGCAGGGACCGGTGCTATCTATCTATCTATCTATCTATCTATCTATCTATCTATCTATCTAATCTATCTAATCTATCTATCTATCTATCTATCTATCTATCTATCTAACTAACTAAACCAGTCATGTGGGTGCTGTTTTACTTGCTTGCTGCAGCGTTAACATGCAAAGACAAGTTAAGGTTAAGTTATTAAACGTTGAAACCTCTTTCTTTGCAAATATCTCATGTTACAATATGGGCACCTGCGGCTTATAGACAGGTGCGGCTTGTGTGTGTACAAAATGTTTTTTCCTTTAAAAATGTAGTGGGTGCGGCTTATAATCAGGTGGGCTCTATACAGTAAATATTCTCGAGTACGCACTCGTGTTTGCGCTGTCCAATTTGTCCTGATAACAGAAATTCCTCATTTGGGAAATGAGCATGGTACGTGTCCTTTATGAACCTGCAAGTATGTTGACAAAATGCACGTGTAACAACACAATCAATAAAATACAAAAATATACTGTCCAAAAACTGTTTATATAACAAAAACTGCAGTACAGGTGTATCCAAAAAATATCACAACAGTAAAATGCGTACAGTATTGTTTATTTTTTTCTGTCTTGGGAAAAAAATGTGTCTATTTTGGATTGTTTTGTTGGATGCATTCTTTGGTTTATGACAATGTTTGCCTGCGTGTCATACAGTTTTTTTGCTAGTTGCAAGTAACTGTCCCATTGATCACCGATGTCTGGTAATTCTTGTGCATACTGACGGATTTTTGTTGCCATTTGCATTGCTTCCTCGCTGGATGGTGGCTTGTCATCAGGA